ATCAAAAGCACTTTTGTAGTGAGTAAATGTAATTTTTAAAACTATAGTCTGAAATTTTAAATTCAACTTTTTAAAAGCTTCCAAAGAAACCATTTCAAAGCTATGCTGCTTTTAAGGAAACTGACTCAGTATCTGTTATGCAAAATAACAAGAGTGCTTTCCAAAGTATAGAATTTTCTAAATGAAAACGCATGAAGTTGAAATTTTCTGACACTTAAAAAATGACTTACGGGTCATCAAAGCCTTCACAGAACCACTTAGGAGAGGTGACATGCAAGCTAAAGGGAAAGGAGGTAGATTCTGCCCTGGGATGATTCTCTGAGCAAGGTCATCATAGAAGCCGCCACAGGTGGCTGTGAGGACTTCCACAAGGTGAACCAGCTCCAAGGGTCAGGCCGGGGTGGGAACAAACACCCTCCCACCTGATTGCCTTCAAGAGTTTCACCACCCGGGACTGAAATCCAGAGCAACTGTTGCTCCATAACATCTCCTCCTCTTCCCTGTTGACACCTTCTGTCCCAAACGACTGTCCCCACAAACTAAGCACACACATTTGCACACACCCCACTGAATCAGAGATGACACACTTCACACAGTAATATCCTTGAACAACTCTGACCAATTGCTCATCTACTTTTGAGATTCATTACCAGATTTGGAAGAGTGATTCAGTTGTAGACAGCAAATATTTATAAAGTATAAAAGCATCAAACATACATAAGGATTTCCTGTAGCAATCTGTTTTTTCACAGCTTTTCTGAATTTTAACAAATGTAATCAGGTTACAGCTATTCTTTTAGGCACAATTCAACATCATTTACATTCTTTCCCAAGCCACTAAAAAAACTGGAGAAACCCCTGCACGTTTATTCAAAATAACACTGAAATTCTAGTTTTTGATTATGTAATTAGTTCTAAAGCTCCTAATTTCTTTAAATTTTTTCAAGTTAAACAGCATTTCTTTTAAAACTATATTGTACTTTAAATCATTATGTATAAAAAGCTTTGCACAAGGCCAGGGACATGGCTCAGCTGTGCAGCACCTGCCTGACAAATGCAAGGTCCTAAGTTCAATTCCTGATACCAAAAAAAAAAAAAAAAAAGGAAAAAAAAGGTTTGCACAAACATAACATTTCTCTTATCTATTAAATGATAGCCTCAGTTTAACATAATAAAACACAAAACTCTTAGACCATCTCTTTCTGGTTAGCTTATTAACTATAATTACAAGGAAATACTATTGAAAAGTACAATTTGGCAAATGCATTATGTACCTTTTAGAATTTACATTTAGGTATTTTGCTATTAAACACTTCCATAAATTGTTACTCTAGGATTTAAAATTAGCATTTAATGAATTAGGAAATCAAGCAAAACATAAAATCTATTTTGATTTGTAGATTTCACTGATTTTTAATGTTAAATAATATTTTTTAAAAAACCAAATGACTACTCTACTAAAAATATAAACTAGAGTTTTAAATCTACATCATTACCTAAGTTATCAAGTAAGTTTCTTTCTTTACTGCTTCTGTAACTGTAATGCCTATGTCTTACAAGTCACAGAAATGTGCACTCCCTAGAAGGGTATTAAAATTAACCTTAAAAGAGGAAACTAAATGTCCAATTCCAAAATCAAAAGTAACTTTAAAGTCTGATATTATATATTTTACATTAACATGTGATAATCACACATGAAATCTACAATAATTAAATCCAGGCATCAATTTGTAATTCAACAAATTCTTGAAATGAGACAACCATATAATTAAAAAGTCTCTTCTGTTTCTAGAAAATTAAAAATTGATACAGCAAAAGCCTTTGTTGCAGGGAGGGCTTGAGGTTGGGTGGTTTTCTCTCTCTTCTTTTTTTTAAATTCAACTATACACAATGTAGTACATACAAGCAAAGTACAATTGAGATACTGTTTTCTTTAACATTCCTATAGGAGACCAAATTCATTTGCATTGGAGAGAACACAATTACTGATTTTTAACCATGAAAGACAAATTCATAGCTTTTTTCCTACACTACCTCACAGCAGTCACACCATCTCAGTGGAAGCATGTCTAGCATCACTTAGTTACTTCCTAAAAGTGGGAAGAAATTGCATTTTTCAAAGTTTTGTTTCTCAGACTCATTCAACTTTAGATACAAAGGCACATTCAAGTCAGTATGTCTTAGCTCTGAACAATTTTTGTAACATGTTTGTGTACCTATACATGACTCTTTTTTTCAAAAGTAAACTTAATAACCAAAAAAGAAATTTCTATCAAGGAAGTTTCCACAACTTTAAAGGGTATCAGTCTTTTCATCTTTGATCCATATGTACTACCAAGCAATATGAACATAGAAAGAAGATCTAAGGACTTTTAATCCAGCAGACTGAAAACAACTTAGAGAAATGAATGTGTTGTTTGTGGTTTACATGAATTTGTACTTAAAAACAAAACTCACATGGCAAAAAGAATGTACTACTACTTAATGACTGACAAAATAATGGTATCTAGTCTGTCTACTGCATAACAGCCCATTTAAAATGATGCTGAAACTGTTTAATCAAAGGCTCAATTGGTAAGCAAATGGCATTCCAATAATTTTATAAATTAAGATAAAAATATCTCACTCCAAACTATCATTAGCTTAAAAAAAAAATCCATTTGGGATGCAGATAAAACTGCTTCTTGAAAAATCAAAGAAATAAGTACAACATACAGAAAATCAGCACTCAGTTGTTGAATATTTTTTAAGCAAGCAAGCAAGCAATGAGGCTAAACTATTTCCTTCACATTTTCACTTCATCTAACACAAAACCACATATAGAACTGACTTACAGCTCACAAATTTACTTCTAACTCGTTAATTTCCATAGAAATGCAACAAAAGGGCACCACAATAGTCGCCATGTAACATAAAAATTCTGGTTTCAAATGTCACAGGACCTGGTTTCTTGAAAGCCACCAGTGTGGCAGTGCCCAGTACCACACGAGAACACACAGCTGCCTCATCCCAGGACTCCACTCGGTTCCCAGTGCCAGCCATAGCTCTCTCCCTCAGCCTGCATACAAGTAGCTAATTTCTGCATTTTAATCTAATAGAGGAAAGGAAAAAAGATTAAAGCCATCCAATAGAAACGGTAACACTCCTCCACAGCAGCAGCTTATGCATACATTTGGTATGTTAAACATCTTCAAGCATAGTGAATCATAGACAGCACATTTTAATCTACCTTCTGGGTATTTCCTATCACCAATATGTTAAAAGATACATGTACTAATAGGGCAAAGTCCCAGATTGTTCTTTATACTAAAAACCTGAGACCTGCCTGTCATTCTAAATTTATACAGACAAAGTCATTTAAATGATACTCCAGCCAACAGCCAATATCTGCATTTGAAAGAAAAAAGCTAAAACTGATACATTTGTTCACAGATTTTTACTTGATGTTAATGACTTTAGATAAACGGGTGTTTCATGCCCACTGCCAAATTCAGTGATGTACACTGCAATGTGAAATGAGAAACCAGCTAACCAAAGTTAAGATTCCGGTGATGTTTATTAATTATAACCCCAAGAAGGATACACAATAGCTAAGGGTCAACAGAATTAGACATTTATAGAAACAGGGCGTCAAATATTTTCAATGGTTCTTTCAAACATTATTCAATATTGTCATCAAACTTCTAAGTGTTAGATGAATAATTTAAATTTAAATAGTATAACAGAAAGCTCCCACTTAGCCTCCTCAAGCAAAATACAAAAATTAAAGAAAAGTTTGTAAATCTAGAATACTTTATTAAAACCAAGCAGCTCCACATTGCTTCTTTTCCAACATAAGTAGCTTAATAGGAGACATGAAACTGGAAACTAACTCTTCTCTCTTTATTTTTAACAAAAGATATTAAGTAGTTCTCAATATGTCACAGAATCATTTGTGAAAGACATCCTGTGGTTTAAATTAAAATTTATCTGCAAGTGCGCTCACATGTTTTACAAATTCTTCAGCAACGCAACCAAGCCCTTATAAAATTAAAGAAGCTTGTTTTAAAATCTATTCAATCTTGGCGAAAAGCAAGACCACCCTACTGTCAACACAAATTGTGAAGGTGGTAAATCCAAGACTCCTCTTAGCCTTCCCAATTCAGCCACTTAATGACTAATGGTGAAGAAGAAAGTGGAGAACGGGGAAGCAAGGGCCCAAATTTAAAGTCCACCATAAACTTTAAACCAAGATGTTCTCCCTCATTCCTTCCTCCGCAGATATTTCTCCTGTTAGCAAATCACTGTTAAGTCCAACACCCACAAAGCTTGTCACCCCTTCATTAATACTGCACTTAAATATAACCCTACATTTTTGCCATTGCTATTTCAGCCTCAAACATTTCTTCAGAGCAACAATAACAACACAACGTGCTCACAAGCAACGCTCAGTTGTCTGGGACTATAAAGTCTAGCTTTTCACTGCCACCCAAACCAAACAAACCTACTTCTTTAGAAGGCTATGCAAAATCCTGACCCCTTACTGAATAATTTTATTTCACATTCATGTAAAAAAGAAAAGTAATTAATCGCGTAGTTGAGTTAAGCAATTCAGCTGACACAGTAAATATTTACTCTTAACATCTCACAGGAAGTCTTGACAAGCATTTGTTGCATTGTGTTGGGAGTAGGGGTGGGCGTGGGAAGTGGGGGGTGGGAGGCGATTTTTGATAAACAAGTTAAACGGTCCCAAAAAGCTGAACCTACCTTGCGTTTGCCTTCCCGACCCCCAATTAGGCAACCAGATATTTTCCAAGTACAGTAAACACCTTATATAATGAAACTAAAAAAGCTTAACTTTCTAAACTGTGTATCTCCCCTATGAAAACAAAAACCTTTTGTAAAACTGTAAGAACACATTTTTTAAAAAGTTAAAGTGTATCTTTTTTACTTAATACTTAAGCCCAGTCCACAAAAAAAAAGAAAGAAAGAAAAAACCAAGCAAAGGTCTGTATATTTACCTTAGCTTTTTAGAGACTGAATAATCAACTTCCATGATTTTCCCATGCAACTCCACTTTACCTTTAAAACAGAAATTTAAAACACTCAGAACCTTCCGGAGCTCAGACCCGGGGGGTCTAGAGAGGCGCGCACACAACTCTCAGCTCGGGCTCCGCCTTCGGGCGCCCTCAAGGGGTCTCCTACCCGGCTCCGGCTGGGCGAACTTGGTGCCCAGTGGGGAGAACGGTGGGCACCCTGGGGTCTCGGGCAGAGGTGGGGAGGGTGCGAGCTGGGGCCGACCCCAGGTAGAGCTGTGGGTGGCATTGACGGAAAAACAAATTTAATAAAGAGCGGCGCCAATTTGAAAGGATGAGCTCATTTGAAACTCAAGCTGCAGGGCTGGCGCGGCCCCACTCCTCTCCCGGCCCCCACCGTCCCATTCCGCTAATCCGGGACCCGAGGGCTCCACCGCGGGGTCCCCCTGACCCCCTGCCCTTCCCTCCCGGGGACCCCGAGAAGGCGCGCCCAAGCCCCCCGGCGGTGCCGCCGCCGCCGAAGCCCCGTCCCTGCCCGCTCCGGGGAGTCACCTTGGCCTGGCCGCCACCCCGCCCCCACCCACACCCCACGCGCCCCAAACCGAGGGGCTCCTGCGAACCGGGGCTCGGGGGGCGCGGGCCTGGGCCGGGGGCGAGCGCGGCTCGGCGCGGTGCGAGTGCAGCGGCGGGCGGCGAGCGCGCGCGGGGACGCTGTGTCGCGCTCCGACTCCGTCTGGGCTCCGGCGCGCTCGCGGGCCCCCCGGGCGCCTCTTTCCTGCTTCTCAGCCCGGGCCCCCACCGAGTTGAGACAGGGCACCTCGTAAAAAGGTGCTTCTGGCCAAGCGGGAGGCGGGGGCACGGGTGGCGGGAAGCCCCCAGCCCCGAGTTCTTCTCAATAAAATCGGACAAAAAATTCAGGGAAAAATAGGAGCGCTGGAGAGACCAGCCAGAGGGGACTGAGGCTCGGGAGCAGATCGCGGGAGATGTGTGGGCGCGCTGGGGCTGGGGTTCAGGGCCCCCCGAGACGCCGAGGGGCTCGTCAGGGTGGAGCTCAGGGGGTGCCGAAAGCGGGGGGCCGGGGGGCCAGGTGGGGAAGGGGCGCGAATTGAGAGTGCGGTTCGGGGACGCCAGAGGCGAAAGGTCCCGGGCACGAGGCTGGGCAAGAAGAAGGTCCGGCCGAGGAGGGAGGGATGCTGGACCCGGAGGGGGTCCCCGCAGAGGGGGTGACAGGAAGGTCAGGGAAGAGGGGGACCCGGGACTCCGGGGTGGGGGTGGGGGAACTCCAAGGAGCCGCGGGGGCACGGGCGCCCCCCGAGAGCCAGCGAGCAAGCCTCGGGGACCCTCGCAGGACGCGGGGCGCCCGGGTCGGCGGGCGGGGGCCGGGAGGGGCGCGGGCCGGCAGTGGGACCCGCGGGTCGGGTGCATGGAAGTGAGTGTTCGGGCGCGGGAGCCCCGCCGGGCGCCGCCCGCCGGACTCGGCCTCCCCGCGGGCACCGTCCCGGCCGAGCAGGGCTTAGCGGGGGCCGGGGTCGGCGGTCCGTGCTCACCCGAGAGGGTCTCGATGGCGCGGATGGCCCAGTTCTGGTCGGGGTAGTCCACGAAGGCGTAGCCGGACTTGAGCAGGACCTGTCCCGCCAGGGGCAGCTTCCTGTCCCCGAAGAGCTGCCGGAGGTCGTCGGCGGTGACGGCGGGGCTCAGGTTCCCGATGTAAAGCTTGTTCATCATCCGCGCCTTCCCCGAGAGCCCGCGGCTCCCCCGGCCCGGTACCCGGCGCTCCTCGCCGCCGCCGCCGCCCGCGCCTCCCGCGCCCGCCCGCCCCCCGCCCCCACCCGCGCCCTCGGCCTGGCTCCCCCCACCGCGGCCGCGCGGCCCGCCCGGGGGCAGGGGCGGAGGCGGGGACTGCGCGGCGGCCTCCTCGGGGCAGAGTCCCGGGCCGGGCGGCGGCGGCGCGCGGACAAAGCGCTCTCTCTGCCTCTCGCTCGCTGCTCTCCCTCTCGAGGCGGCGGCGGGAGGAGGAGGAGGAGCGGTGGCGGCGGCGGCGCACCCCGCGTGTGTCCCAGTCGGTGCGAGAGTTTGTGCGGGCGCGGCCGAGAGGAGCAGCGCCGAGCGCCCCTCCCCGGCCCGCGCCGCTGCGCCCCTCGCCGCGCGCCCCCCGCGTCCCGAGCGCTCGCACTGCTCCTCGGGCTCCCGCCTCGCGGCCGGGCAGGCGGAAGCGGGTCGCGGCCCTGGGCGCCGGAACCGCGGGCTCGGGCGCGGGCGCGGGCGCGGGTGGCAGCCGCGGGCGTGGGAGGCGGAGGGGCGCGGGGAGCGCGGAGCGGGCTGTGCTGTGCGCAAGGTGGACCGGATGTGAGCGCGCGGGCCGGCCGGTGGGGAGGTGCGGCTCGGAGGTGAGAGTCGAGGGCGGCCCCGGAGACGGCAACTTTCACGGCAACTTGGCCGAGCCCGGCTCCCTGCGCGTGCCCGAACGGTGCGCCTGCCCGGAGCCCCGCTTCTCGCCCGGGTCTTCGAGGCGACCATGGGGCACGTGCGATAGGAGGGTCGCAGGCGGGAGTCTGGAGAGCACGGACTGTGGACCCCGCTCCGGGAAGTCGCCTCCGCCGCGGGCCTCAGTTTCCCGACTTGTCAGGAGAGGCAGAAGGTCGAAGCAAACCCTGACCCTCTGCGCCCGAAGAACCCAGTCTGAGATTGACAGCTTCTCTTTACACTGGAAATGTTGAGGGCTCCCGTGCGGCCCCTCCGCGGCCAGGTGGCGGGTGGGGACGCGACTGTGGATGGGATCGGCTCGGGGTGGGGGTAGGGGCGACGCACGCTGCAACGCTGCACGGCGGGGCTCCCTACTCTGAGCCAGGGACGGGGGGGAGGGGTGTGGCTGGGAGCTGGGGTGCACGGGCTGCTGTAGGAGTTCCCCCAGAGTGGCAAGGAGCCGGCAGAGGAAAGACGTCCTTCCCAGCGGAGCAAACAGCTCTTCTGACGGAAGAGGCAGGCTTACGGTGGGAGCAGTACGAGGGAAGAGACCCGCCGACTGAGGATTGCGAGCTCCCGGGCCCAGCGGGATAGTCTGAAGGTTAGAGCCCGGTCGCAGCCAGGAAATGAAATTTTACAGGAAAGAGGAAAAGTGGCAGGCTTCAGAGTTTGAGAGAGCAGAAAAGTCCACCAAGCGACTGACTTTATGGGAGTCTCAGCCGAAGGGTTGATCAGAGAAGTGTTGGATTTTTTGGTGAGGGTTATGGGCAGCAAAAGGTTGCTCTGGGTGGTCAAGACACAAATGTAGGGATGGAACAGGTTCGGGTGTCCTGGCTGGGTCATGAAATATTATCCTTGTCTATTTTTGCCATTCATGAAGTGGGTGGAGAGAAGGTGGTTTGTGGGATGTTGTATCTTCAGAAGGTACTCTCATCTCATTCCCAGCACTGGTCCCGTAGAAGGCCTCCCTACTCCGCACAGACCTTTCTCCTCTGCCCAGCTGTGTGGCCTGACACGTCCCACCATCTTGAATCTAAGTGACTCTATAAAAAAGCTATAAAAACAAAAACCAAAAGGAAACCTTGCAGGGGATAGTGGTCAGAGTCGCCATGAACCCACGCTGCTTTTTTTTTTTTTTTTTTTTTTTTTTTTTTTTTTTTTTTTTTGCCCCTGGAACTTAAGAGCTTTAAAATACTTTATCTGGGGAAAAGAGATCTTCTTAATTAGTTGTCCAGAGAATAAAAATCTCACTGAAATTCTCACTGAATATTTGCAGTTTTTTTTTTTTAATTCTGGCCTTAGTCTCAAAGATCTATATATTTCCTCCTCTCTAGAATGAGTTGGATTTCATTCCTCCCAGAGTTGGAAATCAACTTTACCACTGTCCCCAAACTAACACACGAACTAGGTGTGGGTGCTTCCTTAGAGGTGAAGGAGAGTAACAGATGAGAAAGACTTGTAGAGTGCAGATATCACAGCAGAGTATCAGCCAACTATCCTCTGATTATTTACATAAAAGCCCCTAATTGGAAGTATCACCTTTGTGTGTTAGGACAGCTTGTTTTCTCATTTATAGTAATGCAAAGTTTCATGTTGTAAAATACAAAAAGGCAGGCATGGTTGGGCTCATTCCTCTAAAAGGTTAGTAACACTTTTGTTGTACAGTATTGTCTGACATGTGATCCGTTTGGAAAAGCAGAAATGGTCTAGCATGGGTGCTGTAGCAGGCGGCAGACAAAATCCAATGAGCTTTATCAGATAGCAGTGCCTTCTGGTGTGTTTCTGCTGCTCTGCAGGGTCACTTTGAAATTTCTTCTGTGACATAACTGCACTCTGCCGTACTTTGGTGTTTTCCGTCCTGCTGATGTTTTGTAAGCAGTGGAGCTGCAGAAAAAGAACTTGAATGCAAGCATGATAAAGGACTTTTTCTCATATCTCTGATTCACAGCACCTCTTGGTTCCTTATCCTGTTTATCTTGAGATTCCCTTTACTGGGGTTTTGGAGTTCCTTTTCCTACAATAAGGATGGAGTGAGTGGGGAGAACTTTAAAGACTACTGAGACAGCCTGCAAATGCAAAACCAGAAATCCAAGTCATGGCTCCTGCCTGACCAAACTTACGTGTTTTCTCTGAAGTCCTCCTAGCACATCCCTCTCTAGCAAGGTGAATGAGAACCACTTGGAGCTCTTGGGTACTGTGGACTCGATAGAAGCCTAACATGCCAAGAGTTTATGAATGATTAACTGAAGTCAGAAATTTGGAGAAACTTCTAATAGACATATGAGTTTTGCCTCAGGAGTCCTAAGGCAATTCTGAACCCTATGGTTTTCCAGCAGTTCTTTAGGACAACCTGATGGTAAGGTGTCTCAAACAACAGTTTGTTTTGTTTTGTTTTGTTTTTTTGTTTTTTGTCTTTTTCCTTTTCATCGGTACCAGGGATTGAACTCACAACTGCCTGCTTGCTAGGCAGGCGCTTATGCCGCTGAGCTAAATCCCCAGCCCCCAAACAACAGTTCTTAATCTCACTTTTCATATATGAAAAAAAAGCGTCCAGGAAAGTAGAAGACCCTCTTCGTGGTCACAGAGGGCTTGAAACACACCTGGAAAACATACATTAGTCTAAGAGTCCACAAACGATTAAGCTTTCATCTTGGGATTTCATGACCAAAACATTTCTGTCCTTATCAGTGCTCCTTCAGAGGGTATCACCATGGTAGCCTTAACTTTTTGAATCCATGAGACCCCAGTAGAAATGTGTTTTGCTCAACTGATAGCAGTCGTCAGTATAGACAGTTTTCTAGGTGATGTGAAGATTTGAATGAGAAAAATGAAACCTATTTATTGGAAGGCTGCGGCAAGACCTGCAGGGAGTAATTTTTGAAGAGGTCATGTCTTGGCATATGTATCAAGAATGACTTGGTGGTAAGGTGATGCCCCTAACAACTTTTGTTGAGTTGGTATTAAGGGAAAGTGTCGCACATTAGTTCAGCTACTTTACTTGTTTGTAAGACAGCCCAACCATTTCCTCACGATAAACTCTTTTTTACATTCTCCAAAGCCTGGGCCATCTCTGATCTCCACACCTTTGTTTCCTGTCCCTAGAATGCACTTCCTCCTCCAGTAAACTGCGCCTTCCTCTCCTGATGTGCCATCAAGATGCACTCAGCACTTCATGAGGACAAGAAATAACTTGTCTAGCAGAGATAGTTGTGTGACATTGTGAGCATACTGACAAAAACAGTGAAGTGTACATTTTATTTACTTTTATAAATTTCTGGGATTTTTTTAAATACTGGGAGTTGATCTGAGGTAGTGCTCTACCATTGAGCTCTAGCATTTGAATTCTACCTCAATTTTAACAATTATATCAGGAAGAAGACTTTAGAATGTATTCTATCTAATAAGATCTGGTTTATTTAATCTTTGAACCTCCTTCAGTCAATATGTAACCTGATGGGCACAGGGGCTTAGGTAGTCTGTGGAATGCTCAGCAACCATCTGAATGCTCAGATTGAGTGAAGGGGTACATGATGGTACCCACCTTGCACAGTGTTTGACATACAGCAGGAGGACCATTTCTCCCCTTTGAATTCATTTATCTACGCGTGCCGTTTTTACACAGTGTGTGGCCACCTCTCGATATCACGAAGTTTATGGTCAGTGAGGGAGGCAGAAGGATACACAAGCTATATGTATGCTTGACAGGTGCCACAGTAGCCCCTGAGCAGAAATGAGGGATTTCATTCAGCCTGTGCTTGCGAGGGATCATCCTAGAACTGAAGTTGGAAATGAGTTTTAAAGGATAAGTAAAGGCTAAGGATGTAACTGAGTAACACAGCTCTTGCCTTTTATGCACAAAGCTCTGAATCCGATCTCCAGTACCACAAAAAGAAAAATCAAAAAATAAATCAATAAAGCAAAGGATAAGTAGCAATCTGCTGATAGGACAAAGGCATGCAAGTACCTAGATCCTAGCCAAAGACAATAGCATTGTACAAAGGCACAGAGGTGTACATGATAAAGCATTGAAGTCAAGTGAACATGCAGTCAGAGATAAGTTTGAGAAAAAAGAATAATGCAAAATAAAAAGTTCCCAGAATCAAAGATATAGATCTCTAGATGAATATTGAGAAGTCCCAGTACAATGACACAATGTCCAGAGTGAGGTACATCATTGTGAAACTTAGAACCTAAGTTATAAAATCATTTGGAGCAAAACACCACACACACAGTATGGAAAGAGCATGAGAATATATTTTTTTTTCTGCTGGTCCTTGTTTTCAGTATATAATTACATTCCTGTGTGGAGTTGGCACATGGACATAACACATCTTTATTACTTTTCTTTCCTTCCTC